GTTTTTCGGTTGTTTCGATTTCCCTGGCTGGAACCTTAGTTGTGGTCTCCATAGTTTTAATTTCCCTGCTCGTTGTTTCCTCCAATTCCATTGTTGTTGCCAGCGTGGATTCTTCTGTTGTTTCCAGGCCCATTGTGGTTTTCTTTATGAAGCTTTTTGTTGTAGCATCTTTACTTTCAAAGTCGGGAGATGTGGTTTTGTCTTCGGCTGTTAGAGTAGTTTCTGATACTTTCATTGTCGTGGTATCTTCTGAAACCCTTTCTGTTGTCTCAGTCACCTTCTTGGTTGTGATACCTTCAGGAACCTTTTGAGTTGTTGTCTCAGATACTCCCATCGTTGTTATGTCTACGAAAACCTTCTCCGTTGTTTCCGGAATTTCTGAAGGTACAGTTGTTCCTTCTTCCTTCACTGTTCCGGTAGAGGTTTCAGAATATGATCTTGTAGTTGACTCTAATGATTTTAATGTTGTGTCTTTTTCCATCTCAGCCATTGTGGTACTCTCTGTGGCGGATGTTCCCATTGTGGTACCAGCTGGAATACCGGCTGTTGATTCAGTTATTGGCACTTTGGTTTCCTCCACCGTGACCGTTGTAGTTTGTTCTCTATCTGAGACGAATGTGGTGATTTCAGGAGTGGTTTGACGCTCAGTGGTCTCTTCGACAAAAGCTGTGGGAGTTTGTCCACTACTTGTGGTAATTTCTGGAGAGATTTGTTCCTCACCTTCTAAGGTGGTCCGCGGTTCTTCGGTTATACTCTGAACTGTGGATTGTTTTTCGACCATTGTTTCTGTACTGGTTTCCAGGCTACTTACAGTGGTTTCTTCCACAGTTGTTTTGATGCTCTTCAAAGTGGTTGTCTCTCCAATCTCTGTTTGACTAACGGTTGTGGCTTCTCCGAATTTTAAAGTCGTTGTTCCCTTAGCCAATCCACCAGGTGTCTGGGTTGTTTCCGTAACATCTGGTTGTGAAATTGTAGTTCCTAGTGTCATTTTTGGTGTTGTAGTTCCCATGTCGAATCTATCAATCGCCTCAGTCGTTTCTCCAAATTGAACTTTAGAAGTTGTGCCTTCAACAGTTGTGGGTTCAGGTTCCACAGGTTTTCTCGTTGTTTCCATTGTCTCTAAGGGACTTTGAGTAGTGGATTCTTTGGGCATTTCTGTTGGCATGAGTTCCATAGTTGTTAGACCTTCAATGGACGGAGTTTCAGTTTCAACGGAGGCCATAGTTGTGAATTTAGAAGTGGTTCCTTCATCAATTGGTCTTGCCGTTTCTATAGAAGTTGCAGTTATTATCTCTTCTCTCGGACTCACTGTTGTCCTTTCAATATCCGAAATCACTCCTGTTGTTTCTTGGATAACAATTTCAGGTTGTTGGGAAGACATTGTAGTTTCTTGGAGCTCTGACACGGGTTTTTGAGTTGTTACCTCGGTGACCTTTTCATATTCCGTTGTGACCTCTTTGATTCCTTCAGGAGACACAGTAGTTTCTGTTGGAATTGCCGTTTTCTCTGTAGCTATTTCCAATTTTTGGGTTGTCTTTTCCACTTCAAACTCCTTTGTAGTAGTTTCTTCGATACTCGCGGTTGTCATTACCGTTTGCGGCATTGTTGTTGCCTCGGCGGTTGCCTCTGTTGGCTTTTCAACTTCCAAATCTTTTGTAGTTGTTGTGGTGGCCAATATATTCTGCGTTGTTGTTGGAATTGTGGTTTCCTCAACAGATATCTCAGATTCTGTGGTTGCCGTTTCCACTTCAAACTCCTTTCGAGTTGTTGTTTTTCCAATTAATATCTCGGATTCGGTTGAACTTCCTTCCGTTTGGGTACTCAATTTGGTTGTTGTCTCGCCCATGACTATTTTATATTCGGTTGTCGTTTCACCTCCTTCCGGAGTTATTGTTTTTTCCATGGCTACCACGGATTCTGTGGTTGCCTGTTCTACTCCAAACTCTTTCGGAGTCTGGGTAGTGGTCTCAACTTCCGAAATCATTTTTGTTGTTTTTTCCGTAATTACTTGGGATTCGGTGGTTGTCTTAGCGACTTCAAGATCCATGGAAATTGTGGTTGATTCTTCAACACCAGATATTGTTGTTCTCTGGGTAGCTAATTGTGGTTCTGTTGTTGTCTTCTCCCCTTGATCCTCCCTTGGGGTCAGTGTAGTTTCTTCAATACCGGTGATTGGTTTTGTTGTTGTAGGGGCGGCTGTTTTTTCCGCAACCATTTCCGATTCTGTAGTTGCCTTCTCCAACTCATCAACTCTCATACTCTTCGTAGTTTCTTCAATTGCTGGAGTAATTTTTGTAGTTGTTGGCATTGTGGTTTTTTCGATATCCACTTCGTATTTGGTGGTTGTCCCAGGCACTTCCAGATTCTCGGTGGGTAGGGTTGTTTCTCCAGTACTAAATATTTTAGTAACCTCGGTTGGTACCGCAGATTCCGTGGTTGCCTTTTCCACCGCAACTTCCTTCGGAGTGGTCTCTTTAATACCAATTTCCGATTCTGTGGTTGCCCTTTCCACTTCAAACTCCATGGGAGTCGTTGTGATTTCACCAATTCCGACAACTATTTTTGTTGTTGTCGGACTCGTTGTTTCCGCAGTAGCTTCTTCAGCTACTGTGGTTGCCTCAAACTCTTTTGAAGTCATTGTTGTTTCTCCAATATCCGAAGTTATTTGCGTTGTTACTTCTTCCGACTTTTTAGTGGGAATCACTGTAGGTTTTTCAGTTTCTGTAGGAGCCACAGTTGTTCTTTCAGTTTCTGTGGGAGCTACTGTAGTTCCTTCAGTTTCCATGGAAGTCACTGTGGTTCTTTCAGTTTCTGTGAGAGCCACTGTTGTTCTATCAGTTTCAGTAATGAATTTTGGTGTCACTGTTTCCCCCGTGATGACCTTTACTGTGGTTCTCTCCTCTTCGATTGATTGGGTCGTTTCCTCAAAACCCATGACCGTTTTCGTCGTTGTTGTTCTAGCAACAGTTGGAACCTCTTGATCCACACCCAATTCTGTTGTTGTTTCCTGCCTACTTATTGTTGGTTTTGTTGTACTATCATATGACCTTGTGGTCTCATCTAACTCTGCCTCTATTTCGGTAAATTTAGTACGCATTTCAGTTTGATTTGCCACATCAGCTAGAGTATATTTCAATGTTGTGGCCTCGGTAGTGGCCAATTTGTCCAAGTCCGTGGGTCTTAAAGTCGTTGTCATGTCCTGTCCACGTACTGGTATGTCAATACATTTATACGTCGCATTACCCTGATAACCCGGCGAACATATACATGTCAAAACCCTATGTGTTTGGACCCTGCACACCACGGCCATGGCACATTCGTAGATACAAGGATCCACACAAACGCCCTGTGGACCGCAGCGTAATAGGTCGGGACACTCAGCATCCGTTGAACATGTTATGGTTGTTGTGGTGGTAGTGGTGACTTCTTGTGGGGTTGCTGTAGAAGCTGGTGGTTTTGTATTGAATTTTTGTACAAGTTTTGTTTTTGGACCCCCGGCATGTGTCAAGTTTTGAACGCAAGTTTGTTTTTTTTTTAGTTTTCAGTAAAGGTGAAGTTGAGCAAAAAATTTTTTTGGTTTTGTTTTTTTGAGAGAGTGTAAGATAATTTTTTACAAATGTTTTTTTTCGGGTGTAAAGAAAATTTAAAAAATGTTGTTATTAATAATTAAAATATTTACAAGACAAATTTCATATGTAATAAAATAAGGGGGGAGTAGGGTACAAAAAAAGAGGGGACTGAAGAGAAAAAGTATCAAAGTGAAGAGAAAGAGGGAAATACTCTTATATAATATATAAACAATTTTGATTTTTTTTACAAAATTTCCCCAAATATTAAAGTTGACTCATTTTTGTTGAGCTTTATTCGCCGGGAAAATATGTTTTTTCCTAAAATTCTAAAATAGTACTTTTTACAAAAAATTCAAGATTTTTACAGAGATTTTTTTTTGAATATTATTTTACAATAAAAAAATTAGTAAACAAAATATTCAAACACTAATTGTTTTGTTTTTTTTTTGTTTCGTTTTTTTTTCAAGTTATTTCTAGATATTTACACTTACAGAGTTAGCTACGTTTCGTTACAGGTTTAGAAGATTACTTTACGTTTACGGATTAGTAATCAGTGGAGTTTTTTTTAATATTACTTTTTTACAAAACAAAAAAGTTAAGACTTTACTAAGGTTTTTGTTTTTTGATTGTTTAGTACCAATTTGGTTAAAGAGAGTTGGGTGGACTAGTAATTTATTTGGTGAGAGAGAGAGAGAAAGACAGCTAGTTTTTTTGGAAAGGAAGTGGGAAAAAAATTGAGTTCTAAGTTTTGGAAAATTGTGGTGATTCCCAGCGGGGGCAAAGGGGTCATTAGATTTTTTCTTTGTTGGTGGCTTTGGCAGTGTAGAGGTTAGGGTACTCTAATTGCAACTTCTTTTGTGTGGTTGTTGTTGCTATTTATCAAAGAAGTGAGCATGAGCGTGTGTGAATGTTTTGTTTTAAAATTGCAAAATTAAATTAAGTTTTTTTTTTTAATTAATTATAAATAAAATATCAGTCTTGTGAGAGAGCAATAAGAGAGAGAGAGAGAGGCTAACTCTTCTCGGCTTGTTATAATTTTGAAAACAAAATGGGAGAGAGAGAGTGGAGAAGAATAACTTTTTCTAATGTTTCTTTTCCTTAAGAAACATGGGGAGAGAGAGGGAGAGCAAAGAGAGAGGACACACAAAAATTGTTTTATTTAAGGCAGTTGGTTAAGAAAAAAGAGGTTTTCTTGTTGTTGTTTATAACTAACTTGTCTTTGGTTTTAAAGGTTACTTGGCTTTTTTAAGGGATTAGGGCACTTTGTTTTGTTTGTTTGAGGAACTTCAGCTTATAAACTATACACAGCGTGTGGTAGACAGATAAGTTAAAAAAATAGAGTTTGGGTGTGTGTTGTGTGTGGTGGGTGTGAGAAAAAAAGACAGACAGGAATTGTTGTTGTGGTTGTAAGTTTTGTGTTTGTTGCTTTACCTTTTTGACATCCATAACGTGAATCGGCTATAAATCCACTGGGACAGAATTTACATATCGGCTTGTGATCCTCGACAATACACGGTGAGTTGGGAGCACATTGGGCAAAATCGCAAGGATTGACACACTGATAATTGCGACAGGCCAGACCTGCGGGGCAGCCGGCGTCACGTAGGCATATCGAAATCGAAGGTTGACAATCTTTCATGCATATACAGACGGGTTTGTGATCCTGAACTTCGCAAGATTTGTTCTCCGCACAAATGGGGGCGCGTCCTACGGGCACAATGCAAGGATTACGGCATTTACCCTCTGTGCAGGCCATATTTGAGGCACAATCATCGTCACGATAGCACTCCCGTTTCTCGGGGGCACATGTCAACTCGCCATATTCATTGACAATGAAACCCGTTTTGCACACGCACACCGGATGGTGACGTCTGGTTTCACATTTCTTGTGGCCACGGCAAACAAATTGGGGATTCTGACAAGGATCCGTACACTGTCCATAGGCGCCGCACTGTAAACTGTCCGGGCAATCCGAGTCTTGGGCACACGAGATTTGTTCCTGGGGATCACGTGACTGACTTTGATCCTCGTCAGCACATTTTGGATCGGGTTTACACTCAACTTCCGGACGTCCAATGAAACAGCTGGGACATGAACAGCGTGGTCTATGCAATACGGTTTTGCACAATGCATTCGCTCCACAGGCACCGCGTAGAGTACAAGGATCAATGCAGTGACCCTGCTGGCAAGATTTCTCACTGGGGCAATCCGTGTCGGCTGAACATTTTTCGGTGTCTATAACGTACATATTGATTGATTGATTGATTGGGTTGCGTTATGAGGGCATGGTGTAGAATATAAAATATTTATATAAAGTTTGGTTTTTTTGTTGTTGGTTTGGGTTTTGGGTTTATTACGGATTGGTGGGGGACGGGGGGAAAACAGACAGAGAGAGGGGGAGAGAGAGAAAGAAAAAAAGATACATAGAGAAATAATTTGAAAGAAATATTCAAAGGTTTAATTGTTTTTGGTTTGGTTTAAATTTCTTTGGAGGAGTTTCAAAGGTCCTGAAGCAAACTTCTAAAAAAATGTGTAAAGGAAGAGGGGGATGTGGGGGGTGGTTGAGGGGATGGGAAAATGTGGTTGTTGTTAAGTGTGACATAAACTTAAAATTAAACCTGAAAATTCTTTCAAAAACCCTAATCTAGATGCTTCCTAAACCTAGAGTTTAACAAGTGTCTGGGTGTGTGTGTGTGTGAAAGAGTTTGGGGGCGGGAAGGGTTTGAAAGTGTTAGATTTTGGACTATTTGTTTTAGATTTTCGAGGGGGTGGTGGGTGTTTTTTTTTTTCGTTTTTTGGGGGGAATTTGGTGCATTTCATTTCACATTAAATAATAAAGAAGAAAAATAATTTTGAGTTGTTACAACAAATATTCATAAAACAAATTTGCAATATAAAATTATAAAATAAATAAATTATTATTTTTATATTTAAATTTTCTCAACAAAATTATGTTTCAATTCAGAGAACTGTGAAGGGGAGACATCTCACATTTTATTTATTTTTAAATAGATATTTATTTTTTTGGTGGTGGTTATATAAAAATATGCTTAGCAAACCATTAAATTAGTTTTTTATTTTTTTTTTTTTTTATTTTGTACAGTGTTTCTTTTTAAGCCGATTATATAATTTTTGTTTATTTTTTTTTGTGGTTATAGAACAAGCTGATGATATTTTTTAGTAGATTTATTTGATTTCAAAATTTTGAAAAAAAAATATTTTAGAAAAAATTACACGACATCCAACACATGCGCTCTGCCCTGATGCAAGGACACGTTATTGGAGAATTGTTTGTTTTCGAATTCAGTTTATGTTTTGAATTTGAAATTCTTTGAATTTGAAATAAGGTACATTTCTTTGTTTTTATTTAAGAAAAAAAAATACAGGAAAGTTATGAAAGGTGGTAGAGGAGTTAGAGGGAGGTGGTTAGTAGCAGAATGAAAAAATAGGGAGAATGGAAAAGACCTTTTTTTGTACAAAATTGAAGTAAATTTAGAAAAAATATGTATTTATATATTTACAATTAGTTGGGAGGGTTAGAATTTTTTTGCTATTTTTTTGGGGAGGTTAGTGGAAATATATTTTCAATTTTTATAGAAAAAACTGGATTATATACAAATTTTCTTTTTTTTATATATAGTATTTACAACTTATGTCTAGTGTTTATTTGTACCGTATATAAACCGATTTTTCTATTTTTTTTTTATTGCTTGGCAAATGGTTAGTTCTAAAATTTAGTTACATGTTTTGATTTCTTTTTTTTTTGGTTTGATATTGAAATGATGAGAAGTTTTTTTTACAAAGAGAAACATTATATTTAATATTTTTAAATGAGAAAAAAAATAATTTTCTATTTTCAATTGAAAAAAACAATGAATTTTTGGAATTGAAATTCCAAAACATTAACCTGGCATAAATCTTGTTGAGAAATTTAAGCCAATTTGCAGACATAAAAAATAATATTAACCTAATTTGAAAAAAATGATCAATGATATTTAAAAATGGCGTGCTGTGACAAATGCTTTGTTAAATATATTATTTAAAAACAAAAAACGGCAAATTTTTTTTTTAAGTTTGAAAAAAAATGTATGACATGTGTGGTTGTGGTTTGATTTATATGCTGTGTTTTTTTCTATTTAGTTTAGTTTTTGGTAGGCAGAACTATGTGTGAGAATTGTCCCGTCCACAGTTCCCAATCTGAGACTTGTTGTTTTTGTTGTAAAGGGGAATTTTTCTTATATTAAAAAAAGGTAAAAGATATTTTTTGTGTATTTAAAAAAATAATAAGCTCAAAATTATAGTTCTTAATATATTACCAAATCAAATGGGATAGGATGGGTATAAAGTAGGATGGATGGGAAAGGACTTGTAAAGGATGGTGGGGTTCGAGGGGAAACTTAATATATTTTGTTTTTTTTTTGTATCATTTTATGGTAAATACTCTTTATTTGTTTTACAGTTTTCAGTTCTTCTTTACTGTGTGTGACCCTGTTTGTATTTGTATTTGCATTTTTAATTGCTTCTTACATATCGCTATCGCGGCATATTCGTTTAGTAGTTTGTCACTTTCGTTAGGTCACATATGAGGTAGTTTGGTATTTTCTATTTTTTTTTTGTGAATTCATAAGTTTGTTATTTGTTTTTTATTTGATCTGTGCATAGATCCTAGTTGGCGGCATGCTAAGGGTGCGCGACACGCATTGTTGAAAATTTAAAGTGCTGGTTAGGTCCCTGGTATTAACAACTGGATCTAGTTTATTCGATTAAAAAATAGGGTTTAAATCTGATTTGATAAAGGTAGCTAGTGTTGAAAAAAAAACGTTTGGTTTCCTACGTCACCTTTCATATTCCTTGTAATTAAGTACCTGATATAAATGACGCCCAATGTGTGGCATAAACCCCAATTAAACAAAATAAATGACATATCCAAAAAATAGTTTGTTATTTGTTTTATTATTTGATCTATGCATAGATCCTAATTGACGGCATGTTAAGGGTCTACAAGCCGTGTATCGAAAATATAAGGTGCTGGTGAGGTTCCTGGTAAACTTTTTTTACACGTTTTTATTAGATAAAAAAATTTTTTTTATATCCAATTTGAGAATGGCTTCAAATGTTGAATAAACACTTTTGGTTTTTATTCCTACGCAACCTTTCATATTCTGTGTAATTAAGCCCCGGATTTAAATGGCGCCCAATTAAATTCTAGTTGGAAATCGTAGCATCATTGGGCGCCATTTTTTTTGTAGAATACCCTATCTTGTGATACCAGAATTCATAAATCTTGATTTCGAGTTCGACACCATTTTGCTAGCCATAATAAAAGTCGTGACTTTAAAACTGGCAACCAATGACGATAAAACTTCTCAAAATTGGAATTAGGAATCAAACATAATTGAATGATATCCTAAAATTAAAAAGTGCAAAATGGCGAAATAAGATATCACTACAAAATCCTGCGATGGAATCCTAATGGAATTATTTTTTTCATTAAATTTTAATTTGAAATCGTAGAAACGTTGGGCGCCATTTTATGTAGAACACCCTAATGTGTGATTCTAACCCTCATAATAAATGCCATAATAAAAGTCACGACTATAGAACTGGCGACCAATGACGATACCCCTTCTCTAAGTTTGAATTAGGAATAAAGCATAATTTAATTTTATGATTGGGCGCCAACCTTCCCGATATCGCAAAAGATGAAAATATAAGGTATTACTACTTAGTACTACATTGGAATCCTAACGAAAATATAAAATTCTTTTCATTAAATTTTACTCAGAAATCGGATATACGTTGGGCGCCATTTTGTGTAAAATCCACGATCTTGGGACTCTAGCACTCATAGAGTTAGACATCATTTAGTTAGCCAGGATATAAGTCACGGCCGTCCAATAGCGATAAACCTCCTTTCGATTTGAATTAGGAATCAAGGATAATCAATTTGTTCGGTTTGGCGCCATTTAATCGGGATTTGCGATTAGGAGGCGACTTTGACTTGATTCAATTTTGAATCGAATGGGGACATTACAGGAGTATTGTTCTGTTGTCAGCCTTAAGGTGAAAATACATAAAACGGTTTTTTGACTGCTTAAGTAATCGGCAGGCTTCTACGTAGATGAACAAAGGAATTTTAGATAGACCTTTTTCGTTTTTGGTGCTACGATCCTTTGTTCTTTTCCGAAGAAGGCAGCCGATGACTTTAGCCAGCCAAAAAAAGGGTTTTATGTATTCTCACCTCAATACTTAAATCTTTTTTGTTTTTTAAATTACGTTGTTTTAAATTACGTTGGGCGCCAATTCTATATGAGACAATTAGAATCATTTAAATTACATTGGGTGCCATTTCACAAGTTATTTGGAGATTTAAAAAAACCCGATCTTCTGTTATTAACAGACTCATGTTTATAGTCATAATATAATTGCCTTGGAGATCCTTATTCTGATATCTGGAAAATGAATTCATATTCTGTATTACACCTATGACGTTCTTCGAATCTTTAAAATAATACTAATTTGTTTCTTAATAAATAATAATGTTTTAAAATAATATGAAAATATTTCTATTTGTTTTTGGTTATTTTACGAAAAAAAAATAATTAACAAAATATTGCTACTAAATTAAAAAAGCTTTTATGTTTTGCCAAAAAAGCTGGGTTGTCTAAAAAGCTTAGTTTTCGATTTATGTTTGACGTTAAATAATGAGGTTATGTTTCGTTGCTTTTGAGGGGGGAATTTAAAGGTTAGAATAGAACAAGCTTTTGTTGAGGTTAAAATGCTTTGGTATGGCTAATTAGATAACTACCCAGACGAAAGCTTTTGTTCGATATTGATTGTTTGTTTGTTTTGGATGAGTTAGGGATTTATTTTTAACGATTTCGATTTTTTACGTTTTGTTGTTGATGTTGTATTTGTATTTCTCTAGGTGGATTTGTTGTTTAGGGAGGGTGTAAAAAATAATGTCAAGGTGTTGGTGATTTAAAAAAAATAAATGATTTGAAAATAATAAAAAAATATTATTGCTGTTAAATAAATAGTGTTATAATATTAAAATAAATATTCTTAATGTTAAAAAAAAAACAATATCAAATAAGGCACAGATTGGGAGACCGCGATAGCGACAGCGACATTCCACGAATTATGGTTTGTTTTTCTATTCTTAATTAATTTCCCCTGCTAGCCAGGGGAATTACTTGAAATTAGTTCTCTGTCATGTTGGGCATTACAAAAAAAAAATGTAAAGAAAAAAAGCTGCTAATATAACAAAAATTATAAGGGAAAGTGCACTAATAAAAATCGTTGAATAAAAAAATATTGCGTGAGTGTATTTTTCACAAAATCGAGATAATTTTGATTTATGGTGTGTGGGTATTTGTGTGTGTGTTTGTTTTTTCGAGTGAAGAAGTTTTTCTTTTTATAAAAATATTTTCATAAAATTGTACACTAATTGAATTTGTGTGTTTTGTATACCACATGTGTATAAATTGTTTCATTTTTCCTGGTTAATTATTGTTTTTTTATTAAAACAAAATAAAAAAAATTTAGTATTTACACACACTACTCGTTTTCGTTTAATTGCGTCAAATTAAAAAAAAATATGTTTTAACGTTTGATGTTAAGCAAAATATAAAAAAATATTGAAAACTATTTAAACCCTCCTGCGATTAGAAAAAAATAATATAATTTTTTTTTATTTATCTAATGTTTTTGTTTTGGTTAAGCTAATTCCATTGTCTCGGGTATCTGTTTATTTAACAAAACCCAACGAATGTTACTCACACAATTAATTGGATTAACAAACAAAATTAATTTCCAATAAAAAAATATTAATCAAAAAACAACAACGAAAACCCTACAAGTTTGTTTAAATTATGAAAAAAATATTTGTTGTTTTTGTTGTTGTAAATAAACCTAATTACAATCAAATAACAAAGCTCTAAGGATAAAATATGTATTTCATTTGGGCACTTACCTTGTTTGCAAACATAGTCGTAGCCCTGGCGTACACATTCACCAACGGCGCAACCTTCCGTTAGGCAATTTCTTGGAGGTTGAGTTAAATAACCTGAAAAGTGTAAAAGGGAAGTATTAAGTTTTATACCTTGCACAAAATTCTTACATTTGTTTCGATTCAATATAGAAAATATACGAAAGAAAAACTATGATAGATAAATTGGCGCCCAAGGTGAAGATTATTTGATTTGAACACGGATTGAGGAATGGTGGCAATATATTATAATGATAGGTAAAGTGGCGCTCAGGAGAGGAATATTGGAACAATAAAAGAGTATTAACAATATAGGTCCAGGGTAAGTAAGACATTTCCATGAATTAGAGCTCTGATAACAACAAAGTGGCGCCCAATACAAAAAAATATATATAAATGATATCCACTATTTAAATACAAGAATTTAAATCAAAGTGGCGCCCAACGTAACAATGCAAGTATTAAGATACTCTAGATATTATAATTGAAGAAAGACTAAGACAAAAAGTGGGGTTTAAAGAATGAACTGCAGTGGCGCCCAATCGAAAAGCACGAATTTTGCTAAATGAAGAAAGACTACAAATTCCAGAATCCACATCAGAGGGATTTGATACAAAATATTTCAACCATAAATGGCACCCAAAGAATAACCTGGTGTGGCAACTAATCGAAAAGTCCGAATGCTACGAAATGTCTATGGATTATAATTGAAGAAAGGCTAAAAAGTCCAAATTCCACATCCGAGGTACTTTATATAAAAAATTTCAGTAATAAATGGCGCCCAAAGAATAAACTGGTGTGAATAAGGGCTTGGAGGTGGATTTTTGAGGGAGTTTATAAAAAAAATATTCCAACTAAGAATGAACTGGAGTGGTGCCCAATCAAAAAGGTTGAATGTTACAAAAATCAAACAGATTATTGTTGAGAAAAGTCTAGAAATTGAATTTTTACATTAGAGTTATTTTTTTCGATTTGACCTCAGAACATGACAAATATTCCAACAATAAATGGCTCCCAATACATGAACGGTGTGCAAAAATTAAGAAATTAGGAAAATTTTAAATGTGACAGTATTTTCCAATTTCAATTTGATGCCAGTTTGGAATGCTGTAAATCAGAGGAATGTTGTAAATCAGAGGGTTTTTTAAGTTTGAAAACTTCACAACCTATAAATGGCGCCCAACATTAATTACCACAATGTATCTTCATTCTCACCAAGAAAAAACTACGCAGAATGGAAATATATAAACGTTTCGTAGCGGGAATGGCGAATTATTAAGGTATTAACTCTTGTTTACATATTCTCTAAATCAATGGCGCCCAACGGGCAAGGGCAAGGGCAAGGGCAAAAAGCAAAACATTTTCCAATCCTAATTAAAACAGGCTGAGTAATATATATTTTTTTTTAAACAGAGAGAATATTTTCAGTTTCTTGAACAACTGCAACATAAAAATGGCGCCCAACAAGAATTGCCAAAACATTTCTGCATTTTTATAGAGAAAAAAATGGTGTCAATGGCTACCAACATTTGCTCATTAATGCGTTCGATCATCCTCCGTGTCAAATAAAGGAAGTACTACTGGCGCCAAACGGATTAGTGTAAATATCAAAAAAATCTCTAATCCTAATTAAGCCTAAATGATTATTTCAAGTTTCTTGAACAACTTTTCCTTAATGTACGATCATCTTAATGATAATACATGGCTTGGCTTTGAAATGAAAATGGCGTACACAAGGGCTACAAAGAGTTTTCCCACGTAGGTCTCAAAATATGAAAAACTTCGACAATAATGGCGCCCAACATGAATTATTAACAAATTTTCTCATTTTTATAAATTTTCCTCATTATCTCTAATCGCTAAACAAATCAAAATGTTTCTACTTACACAATACATATGGATCACCATTGGGATACTCCTCGGGACAATAACATTGCGCCTCATCGTGTGGCAGTACCCGGCAAGCAGCATTCAAACCACAAACTTGATGGCTGCATACATCAACAATATTTCCATCGCATAGACAACCCTTTTTGGCATCTCCAACACAACCTTCCATGCAGGAACATTCATAGCCACCGGGAACTTCGGTGCAGCGTGAATTCTCACCGCATGGATTATTGTCACAACCACCTTCAAGCGGTTGACACTCTGTGGCTGCATCGCCAAAGAAGTCCGGTGGGCAGGAGCATTGTGGCCGGCGATCGACAACACGGCACTGGGCATTGACGCCGCAGGCACCGAATTCCAGGCATGGATTACGACATTTACCCTTGTCACAGCGTTTGTTGGCCTCACAATCTTCATCGTGTTGACATTCGAATTGAATACATTCCTTGTTCGGTTCACCCTCATAGCCATCGGGACAATAGCATAGCATGCGATGTTCCGACACTGTGCACAAGGCATTACGGCCACAGGATTTCTTATTGGCACAAGGATCACTACACTGACCCTTGATACAGGTCTGGTCGGTGGCACAGTCATTGTTTGTTTTGCAACCAGCAACGCAGGCTCCACGCTCACACAGCTGGCCAACTGGACATGATCGGTTGGCACCACATTTGGAACGGCACTTGCCACGCATACACATCTGGCCACAGGCACAATCGGTGTTCCTCGTACAGGATTCGGCACAGTAGGTGTTGCTTTCATCACATTGGCAGGAGGGATTACATCTTTGGGGTGGCATTTGACAACCGGTGAGACCATCACCCAAAAAGCCATTGGGACAACTGCATTGAACGCCATGATTGACAACCAAGCAATTGGCACATTGACCACACTGGCCAGGAGTATCACAGGGATTCTTACATTGCTTATTTACACAAGCCTGATCTTGGGCACAGGTCAAATCATTGCGGCAGCCAATTTGACAAATGCGATTTTCACAGATTTGTCCTTGGGCGCAGGCCGAGTCCGTGTTGCAAACAGTGCGGCACGAGCCACGCATACATTTCTCATCAGCCAAGCAGTTCTGGTCATTACGGCAACGGCTCTGACAGCTACCGCCATAGCAAAGTTGATTCGATTGACAGTCAGCATTGGTTTGACAAACGGTGATGGGTGGTTTACACGACACTTCGGGATTGCCGACCAAGCCATCGGGGCAAGAGCAGACCTTTTGATGATTGTAGACATTACATTGGGAATTGGTGCCACAGGCACGGGCATCGGAGCAGGGATCAACACACTGTTGATTGACGCACGACAGATTGTCGGGACAGCCTTGATCTGAACGGCAACCGGCCACACAGGACAGTCCCAGACACACTTCACTGCTGCGGCAATCATCATCGCGACGACACAACGGCTTGCACGCACCATTTTGACAACGTTCATTGGACAGGCAGCCCAAGTCGTCGGCGCACAAGGGTCGGCATACAGCTTCGAAACAGGCCAAGCCATTGGAACAGTCACGGTTCTCTGAACATTCCTGGGGAGGAGCACGTACACAGCCCACCTGGGCGGTGGGACTGGGCACCATGCCATCGAGACAGGTACAGGTGGCACGATGATTAGACACCGAACAGGCAGCATTGGGTCCACAAGGATTCTCGGAGCAGGGATGAATACATTTGTCATTGCGGCAGGATTCCGAGGCACTGCAGTCGTCATCGGTGTGGCAGCCAAAGACACACTTGTTGTGCAGGCAGACATGGCCCAAGAAGCAGTCGTTGTCGACACGACAGGTGACTGGAAAAGAGGATATGAAACATCAAATTAGTTACTCTCTTTGTTCTCTTGAGGCAACCCCCTCTCATTGTGTTATACTTACGCATACAAATGCCACGCAAGCATTTCTCATTCAGGGCACAATCTTGATCATTGCCACATTCTGGGAAGCACATACCATCGCGACAGTTGTAACCCTGACCACATTCCAAATCGGTACTACAGGCAATTGGTATGCGTACACATTCCACATCGGCATTTCCGGTGAAACCAGCAGGACACGAGCATTGTTTGTAGTGATTGTCAATGGAGCACAGTGCATTCATGCCACATGCTTGAGGTTGGCCACATGGATTAACGCATTGGCCACCTTGACATAGTTCATTGCCGGTACATTCTGTGTCCAAAACACAAGCAGCTATCGTACGTGATTGGGGGGAAAGGAAAAATAAAAATTATTATAAAATTATTATTGAGAACACAACCAGGTGGTCGTCGTTGAGGTTGATCTATGACAAATATACACTGAGACGGGAATTGCATTTGGAAAAAAAATGTCACATTGAACAAATTGCAAGGATTCTGTGGAAATTTAAGACAAACACACACATTGAGAGATAAAGAGAGAGAGAGGGTACGACTAAGAGAACTATTGTTTTGCATTTATGAAACAACGGTGTGTGAAGTTCCTAGGAATTTTATTTGGCAAGCTTTGTAGTATCAAGAGGGAAGAGAGAGATAGAGAGAGAGAGAGAGAGAGAAAGATCTCTCTCCTCTCTATTGCAACTCGTGGAATTTTGAAAATACCATGAGGCAACTTAAACAAATTAAGAACTAAGATACTTTAAATATTTTTTGGGGGGTTTTCAATCATTATCAGTCCTCAATAAAATGATAGACCATTGGACTTTTTTTTAGGACGATGAAACCTTAAATTTGTCTAAGACCTATTAACTCGAGAACTTTCAGTATCTAATTTTATAGATCTTTCATTCCAAACCACAAGTTTGCCAAACAAAATTACTTGACTAAATAGAATTAATTCAAAATTACCGCACATTTTGTGGCTGGAAAATACAGTGTTCAAAAGTGTCCGGTATATATTTGAAAAGTATTAAAAATTTCGTGGAGTACCTAAAATTGTGTGACACATTTTGGTGAGTAATCTGAAAATGTTTTTGTTTTCTTGTCGTGTGTGTAAATGTTGTTGAATTTTTTGTGTGTTTTTTTTTCTGATTTCATTGTAAATTATGTTTTCTTTTGGTGTGTATGTGTAACCCTTTACCCCTTGGGTAAGTCTAATAACTACAGGTTAATGCAAAGTAAAAAAAAAAACATCATTACAATTCCATTAAATCCCATAAACATAACAATAACAATTATATTTCGCCACATTCTCTGGTTAGTACTTACGTTTGCATATACCGTCCGAACAATACGAATTGCTCGGACAATCACCGGTAACTTGGCAAGGTGTTGGCAATGGCTTGCAACCATTGACCCGGTCAGCGGGATTGCCATCATAACCACTGTGACATGCACACTGAGCCTTGTGACCCTTCGGAATACATTCCGCATTGGGGCCACAGCGCACCGTGGCGCATACATCATGACACTTGGGTACACCATTTGTTTTCGTGCATTCGGCATGCGGTGGGCAGTCTTCGTTGGTCTCACATTCGACGGAGGTGCGACAACCCTCGTTATAGGGGTCACCAACCAAACCGGCGGGACATGTGCACTTGAAGGAGCCGCGTGAATTGCGACACCTTGCACCTGGACCGCAGGGAGCATCTTTACAGAAATCAATGACCTGGCAGCCCAGTTTGGGGTCGCCAGTGAAACCGGGTTGACAATGACAAACTTGTTTGTGATTTTCGGCCGTGCAAACGGCATGTTCGCCACATGGCTGGCCAATGAGGCAGGCAATCTTACACATGTGACCATCACAGGTCTTGTCGCTGGAACAATCCTCATCCGAGGTACACTCGACTTTGCGGCAACCAGACTTAGGATCTCCAAAGAAACCTTCCTTACACTCGCAATCGGCAGCATGGCTACGGGCAATGCACTCGGCATTGCGGCCACACACTGCACGACCCAAGCAAACATTTTCACAACTGGCTCTGCCATAATTGTCGACAACACACACCTCATTGCTTCCGCAGTCCTGATCTTCGCGGCACAACACCTCCTTGGTGCAAATGTTGTTCAAACAGAATTGGAATTCGGGACAGGTAGAGTTCGATTTACAGGTGGGTTGACAAACACCCTGGATACATAGCTGGTCGGCAATACAATCGCGATTCGATGAGCACAGGGAACAACAAAGACCATTAGAGCAAATGCTGCCGGCTGCACACTGATTATCGACATTACAGTACTGTAGAGGGACACAACCCAATTGAGGATTACCCGTCGTTCCACGTTCACACGAACAAATTCCGATGTGATTTTGGGCAGTACAACGCGCTTGTGTTCCACAGGCATTTGGTAAGGAACAAGGGTCAACACATTTTGAATCGACACAGGCTTTTTCACTGGAACAATCATCATTGTCCGAACACTCAATGTACACACATTCGACGGATGGATCTCCTCGAGCATTGGCGGGACAAGTACAGATGGCATTGTGGGATTGGGCAACACAATTGGCATTAATGCCACAAACATTTTCGCGTTCACAGGGACTACGACATCTTGAGTTTTGACAGCTGGCCGTAGCGGGGCAATCAGAGTCGGTAAGACATTCATTGGGATCACGGCATCCAGCATGGACAGGATCACCAATCAATCCCTCGGGACATTGACAGTTGAAGGAGCCCGGCAAATTCTGACAGAATGCCGTTTTGTGGCATGGTCGGTTCAGACATTCATCGACATCTTCACAGATGCCATTGTTTAGGTGGTAACCTTCATAACAAGAACAGATGGCCTTGTGATCGGCAACATTGCAGGATCCCTTGCCACAGGTAATCAAATCACAAGGTTTAATGCAGCGATTTGTGGCCTCATCACAGGCCCTGTCACTGGCACAATCGTCATCGGTGATACATTCCACCTTGAAGCAACCCACCGAACTGTCGAATGGATCACCCAAGTGACCAGGTGGACATTCACACATGGCCTGGTGGTGTTCCGATTGGCAGAGAGCATTTGGACCACAGCTGGTTGTCAAACATGGGTTGGAACATTTATCATTGATACAGGCCAAAGCCGTGGAGCAGTCCTCATTCTTGTAACATTCCTTGGGCTTGGCACATCCCTTGACATAGCCATCACCCACCGTGCCCTCGGGGCAAACACACTTGAATGAGCCGGGTATGTTTTCACATTTAGCCGATACATGGCATGGTTGTTCGGTACACTCATCAATATCCGAACAGCCGAAGGGTGTACCAATAAAACCTTGGGCACACTTACACTTGCCGCTCAGACACAACTCTGTGGGTGGACAATCTGCATCCGAGTCACAACCAGGTTGGCAAGTACCATCATCATTACAGATTTCTCCGGGCAGACAGTTGTTGCTGGTGTAACAAACCTTGCGACACACTTGTTGGTAGCAACGCTCTCCAATGGCACAGGCGGAGGTCTTTTGGCATGGTAGATTACATTGATTGCCAATGCACATATGACCGCTAGGACACTGGTTGGTGGCCAAGCAGGGGGCTGGTACACGTACACAACCCTGTTCGGGTGTGGGATTTCCTTCAAAGCCCTCGGGGCAAGAGCAGTGACTGCGTTGGTTGTCAATGTTGCAGAGAGCATTAGGTCCACAAACACCACCGGTCTGGCAGGGATCGGCACATTTATTATCGATACACGAACGATCCGAAGGACAATCTTTGTTGCTGCGACAGCCAATGGAGCAAACTCCCTTCAGGCAGGCCAAGCCACTGGAACATTGGCTGTGGTCCACGCAAGGAATCACACAGACATTCTGCAAACATTTCTCACCCATCGAACAGTCATTCTCTTCACGGCAGATGACACGACACTCGCCATTGTAACACACCTCACCGCCACAATCAGCATCGGAGCGGCAGTGTGACACAGAACGGGCACAGCCTTCTTTGGCCGACTCACCCATAGGTTGGAAACGGAAGGGACACGAGCAAACCGGTTTACGATTGATAACTTTGCATTCGGCATTGGCACCGCAGGCATTGTCACATGGGTTGACACAACGACCTCCGCTACAAATCGTATTGGCAGGGCAATCGCCATCACCGTTGGGACATTGTCCTTCGGGGCGACAACCTTGGCGCACAGGATCGCCAATAAAATGTTCAGGACATTTACAAATCGGGCCCTCAGCGGTGACCTCACAAATTGCCGAGTGATGACATGTTCCGGGTGTACAACCCCCAGTTTTAATACATTCCATTTCAGGTATGGGATTTGCCTTGAAACCCGGAGGACATTGGCATACGGCGCGATGATCTTCGGCCAAACACACGGCATTGGTACCACACGATTCATCATCGCACACATCGAAGCACGAGTGAGTCAAACGATTGCACAACTGATGCGAGGGACAGTCTTTGTTGTAGACACAAGGTACGCTCTGGCATCCTTCGTAAGGATCATAAGGATCACCAGCAAATGGTCCAGGAGGACATTGACATTGGGCTTGATGATTGTTGGTGATGCATACGGCACGTGGTCCACATTTAATTGCCTCACAGGCAGGTCTACAGGTAAGCATCTCCTCTGGGCCATATTTAATACAGGCCTCTGATTCGGCACACTCGGCATTGCTGCGGCATTGATTTTTTTGTACAGGCTGGCAACCATTGCGATCATTGGGATTACCCACAAAGCCGGTCAAACAATCACAGCGACCTTGATGATTCTTGGCAACACAAATTGAGTTGGCAGGACAGGTGAACTCGTCGCAAATCGAAACACATTTCAATACGCCAACAACATCTGGGCGACAGGCCGAAGATGCTGGGCATTCCTGGTCTGAGGTACAATCTGGCAGACTGGGTTTCTCACAAGCCGATGATACAGGATTCCAAACATAGCTGTCATCACAGCTACAAATCGCATTGCCACTGTTGTCCACTTTGCAAACTTCATTGGTGCCGCACACCACCTTGGAACACATGTGCACGCACTCCTTGGCTCCGTCGTTGACGGCCGAGCAGGTGTAGCCCAATTCACAGTCGTTGTTGGATTTACATTTATCCTCCACATCGGGTATCTTGCGTTCCGGCTGGCAACCGGTCTGCAAATTGCTGGGTACACCAAAGTATCCATCACTGCAAATGCACGAGGACCGATGGTCATTGGCCACACACAGGGCATTGGGACCACATTGTATTTTCGAACAGGCATCGACACATTTGCGTAGTCCTTTGCTGAGTTGGAAGCAGATTTCGGAATTCTTACAATCGCCATCATTGTTACACTGGCCACGGATGGTACAACCCGTCTCGAGATTATTGGGATCACCCAAATAACCCAATGGGCAAAGACATTTTCCGGCATCGCAAACGGCTCTGGGGCCACATGTTGTCTTCGAACACAAGTCCTTGCACGAGCCGCGTTCACATGAATAACCATCGGGACAATATACACGTTCATTGCACTTGCATTTATTCGCATCCGAACAGAATTCCGTATCGACTGGTTGACAGCTGGTGAAAGGATCTCCTCCGAAACCGGAAAGACACAAACATTCAAAGCCTCCATGAGTATTGAGGCAGGCCGCATTTAGACCACATGGTTTGTTCATACACTCATCAATGTCATGGCAACCGACATAGGCATTGCCGGCGAATCCTTGAGGACAGACACAAGTAATGCCATTGGCATCAGCCCTACATTCGGCATTGGGACCACAGCTATTGGGTTCACATGCAGTCTTGCTTTGGGCACCACAACCCTCATAGGGATTGCCGGTGGTACCCGAGTTGCAAACACACTCAGCACTGCCAAAGCCATATTCACAGTGGGCATTGAGACCGCAGGGAGGATTACATTCGGCATATTTAATGGGTGGCATACAAATCAAATCGGGATTGCCAATAAAGTTGGGCTCACACACACATTTGCCACTGTTCTTGTCACACATGGCACCGATGCCGCACACAACGCCATCACATCTCTCCTTACAGCGGCCATTAATACAAATTTGCCTTTCACTGCAGGGTCTTGAGGCGGAACATTGATCCGTAGAGCAAGAACCACCAGGGAAAGGATTACCCATATAACCCTGGGGACATTTGCAGGTGGGTCCTTCCGAAGTGGGAATGCAAAGGGCTCCCTCGCCACAGATAACATCCTTACACTGGGAAACACAGTCGCCATTGTCATCCTTGACAAAGCCCACACGGCAGCGACACCATGCGGCATGATTATCGGTCTCGCAGAAAGCATTGGGTCCACACAACAAGCTGGCACAGGGGCTAACGCAAGTTCCCTGCATGCAGGCCAAGTTGCTGGCACAGTCTTCGTTGGTGACACACACACTCTTCGGCTCATCTGAGGATTCCAAAATACAACCGCTCTTGTAGGCATCGCCGGTAAAACCTTTGGGACAAACACATTGGTAACCACCTTTCTTGTTGACACAATAGGCTCCATAGGCGCAGGGCAAATGGGCACATTCATCCTCGTCGGTACAACCCAACAGAGGATCACCCTTGTAGCCCACTTCACACATACATTGGGGTGGATCAGTGGGTGTACACTTGGCATTGATACCACATGGGAATCTTTCACAGGGACTCTTACATTTGTTGTTGTCATAGGGATCCAAGAAGAAGGGTGGTGGACAGACGCATTCTCCCGGTTGTACACACTTCTCGTTGGTGTTGCATTCCTTGTCGGCGGCACACTTTCTCTGAGCCGGGCTACAGCCTCCGTTGTAGGCATCTCCATTATAGCCATCTGGGCAAACACAAGAGAATGATCCAGGTTTATTGATACATTCGGCGCCATAGGCACACACTCTGTTGCCTGGTTCCGAGCACTCATCCACGTCGACACATGAACCATCCGACAAGGTTTTATATCCCTTGGGACAGGCGCAATAGCTAACGCCTCCTGCAATGGAAATACACTCAGCTCCATTGGGACATTTTTCGCCGTTGGAACAGCCGGAGAGAATACAGCTACTGCCAACCAATTTGAAGGGGGCTTGACACTGACATTCAGGGGAGTTACATTGTTCACACATAACGAAGGGATTGCCATTGAAACCGGCCGCACAACGGCATTCATAGCTGCCGGGTAGATTTTTACATAGGGCATTGATACCACAGGCTGGCTTGGCGCGGGTGGCTGAACATTCATCAATATCCTGACACTGGCCAGTGGCTGGATTGCGCTCATAACCTTGACGGCAAATGCAAACACTGGTGCCTGTATAGCTGTCGGCCACACACGATTCTCCGGGAGCACAGGGATTGGAGTCCGAACACGAGGGGGGTGCCCTAGTGGTGGCACAACCTTCACGATAGGGATCGCCAGAGGAACCCGATGGGCATTGGCATTGATAGCCACCCGGTGTATTGGAGCAAATGGCATTGGCAGCGCAAGGGTTGGCCTTACATTCGTCGATATCATTGCAACCACCAGGCATGTCGGGTGAACCCGTGAAGCCTTCGGCACACAAACATTGAGCCTGGCCATTTACCAACATACAGTGGGCATGGGCACCACAGTTCTTAAATTCACAAGGATGACGGCATTCATTGCCCACATTTGGTTCGGGGCACAAACATCTCTTGGCCGGATCACAAATGGCATTGCCGGGACAATCATTGTCCAAATTACAGGTGACAATGGGTACACACCGGACAGTGGGATCTGGATCTGGTATGGAGTCATCGGGACATCTGCAGGTAAAGCCACCGTTCATGTTGATACACTCGGCTCTATCGCCACACTTATTGCCACTGCGACATTCATCAACATCCACACATTTGGTGTGGGGATCTCCCGAGAAGCCTGAAGGGCAAGAGCAGGAATAGCTACCCAAGGTATTTGTGCAAGTGGCATTGGTGCCACAACTGCCGAAGGGACCATGTACGCCCGTATCACATTCATCGATATCCACACAGCCGGCAGCAACATCGCTCGGGTTAAATGTCCAGCCATCTTCACAGATGCAATAGGCTTCGTTGCCATCGGGCTTGCAATAGGCATGCTCGCCGCAATGGACATCGGCACAGGGTTCCTTACACATAACACGTGGCGGTGTACCCACATAGCCAGCCTCACAATCACATCTATACGATCCGGGGGTATTGATACACTGGGCATGCTCCCCACAAACACCAGCATGGGTGCGACACTCATCAATGTCCACACAACTGGAGCCCATGGGCTCAAATCCATCCAAGCAGAAGCATTGATTCTCAATACACTCGGCATTGTTGGTACAATCGAAATTCGTCGAACATTGGATATTGACATCAACCTGTTCACAGGCTGTCTTGGCATCCGGTTTCCCGGCAAATCCTTGGGGACACGAACACTCATAACCGGGTTGTTTATTTTCACAAATGGCATGGGGACCACAGGGTTTTTCCATGGTCGAACATTCGTCGATGTCAATGCAACCGCGGAAGGGATCACCGGTAAATTCAGGTTTACAGGAGCAGACAAAACTACCAATGGTGTCAGTGCAAATGGCATTTTCACCACAGGGATTGTCTTGGCATTCATTGATATCTGTAGAGATGCGTACAGGGGGTTGGGGATGTAAAGGTTTGGTAAAAACGCAGAAAGTGAGACAAGTTTGGGTTTTTCGTTCGTCGTTGGTGAAAGCCGTGAACAAAGCAATTGCGTGTATTTTTTTGGTTTCGTATGGTTTTTTTGTTTGTTTGGAACAATTGCATTTGTTGTTGTTGGCATTGGTGGTGGTTTGGAGGTGTTATGAAAAAATGTTAATGAAATTAGTGTTGTTTTATTTTTGGTTTTTTTTTTTGAGGGGGAAAAAGGAAACAATTTAAGGGAATTCATAAAAAATAAAACTTAAAACTAAAATAGCGTGAAAATAGAGCAGTAGCAGAGTCTAGAATAGATGAGAAGGTAGACAAGTCGTCAGACTTTTAGCAATAGTCATTAAGCTATGAAAAAGAAATTTAATTGAATTTAAAGCATTTCAGAAAAGCTTTTTTTGACTAGGCGGGCGAAGAAGCAGATGTGTATTCTTCGTGTGTACGGGTGTACTGGTGTGTTGGTGTTGATTTTTTTTTTATTTTGAAAGCTTTTATGAAAATGCTCAAGTGTTTGGGCTAAAACGGATTTGGAGTGGGAATTATATTTGCAAGAATTTTCTACGATAATTTGAAGCATTTAAGATTGACAAAATTTAATGGCATTAAAATATAATGCATTGGGAGCCAGATCTAATTGTTTTCCAGTAAAAAATTAGGCGATTTAAAATTTAAGTAGTTCCATTAAGTGTTCCAAAAATGCAATTCTCAAGCATGTTGTACTTAGCGCTAAGATAAATCGTAAGGAAATATGATCGGTAACATAATAAAATTGCCATCTTTTAAGACTCCCTTTTTGTTTTCTTTAAGGTTTAGTAGACTCCTTTTTAGTCGTCCGTGAAGACTCCCTTCTAATCTTCTAATCTAAGACTCGCGTCTTATAAAGAGTACTTTACGGTTTGGTATTTTTTTAATTTTTGTTAAATGAATTATTATGGAGCGTCTATGGGGAATCTTCTGCATATCGAGTATTCTATGACACAAAGTATTGCTATGTTGGGCGCTACTGAATTAAAGAATATCTTTTGACAAAAAAAAAAAAAAAAAAACGTTGGGCGCCACTTTTACATAATTACATCGCTTTTTCTATTGTTGCTTTTTCAATTGCAAATACTTTGTCAGACAAAAAAATGTTGCCACGTTGGGCGCCACTTTTAAAATTTTGGATGACTTTTTCTATGGTTGTTCCCTTGACAATTACTTCTAAAAAATATCTATTAAAATAATTATATAAAAAAAAAATAATTATAAAAAATATTCCTACGTTGGGCGCCACTTTTAAAATATTGAATCAGTTTTTCGATGGACATTCCTCTGTCAGTTAATTGTAAAAATATTCTTTTTAACAGATTATCTATAAAAATGCCATTACAAAGCGAATACTCTGTGTAAAAAATATTGCTACGTTGGGCGCTATTTATAGATTATTATATGACTTTGATGAGGGGAATTCCTTTGACAAAGAATTCAAAAAAATTGTCTTTTGACAGCTTTTCTATAAGAATTCAATTGCAAAGAGGATAGATTGTCACAAAACGAAATAACGACATTGGGCGCCACTTTTGAGATATTGGATTACTTATTCTATTGACATTCTTTTGCCAACCAATTGTAAACATATTTAGATTGCCTATGAAAATTAAATTGTTAAGTCAATATTATGTTAGAAAATTTTGCGATGTTGGACACCATTTTCCAATTATTATCGTTGGATGTTCATTTGACAATGAATTCTAAAAAATGTTTCTTGTGATAGCTTATCTTTGGAATATCAATTGAAAAGCCAAGAAATATTAATACGTTAGGCGCCACTTTTAAAATATTTGATTAATAATTCGATGGACATTTTATTGTCAACTAATTCATATTTTTTGACACTTGTCTTTTCAATTTTAATTGTGAATACTTCGTCAGGAAAACATTGTTAAGTTGGGCGCCACTTTTACAATATTACATCACATTGTCTATGGCTGTTCCTTTGAAAATTAATAATAAATCAATAAAAATATCTTTAGACAGCAGTCTATGAGAATTCAATTGGGAAGCGAATACTCTGTCCAAAATAAATAAATAATAATAATAATAATAATAATAATAATAATAATAATAATAATAATAATAATAATAATAATAATAATAATAATAATAATAATAATAATAATAATAATAATAATAATAATAATAATAATAATATAATAATAATAATAATAATAATAATAATAATAATAATAATAATAATAATAATAATAATAATATAATAATAATAATAATAATAATAATAATAATAATAATAATAATAATAATAATAATAATAATAATAATAATAATAATAATAATAATAATAATAATAATAATAATAATAATAATAATAATAATAATAATAATAATAATAATAATAATAATAATAATAATAATAATAATAATAATAATAATAATAATAATAATAATAAATAAACAAAAATAATTCTACATTGGGCGCCACTTTTGAGATATTGGATCACTTACATTCCTATGCTAAAAATTTTAAAAATATATTTTTTAAGAAAAAATTTCTGCGTTGGGCGCCACTTTTAGAATACTGGACAAAGTGTTTCAATATTCTAAAATTGACGAACTTTTTTCTAAAAATTTTTTAATAGCTTGTTACTCAAATAAATATTCGGGATTGTAACTCAAAACACTTGCAAACATAATTCCCACTATAAACAAGATTTCTCGAATTATTTGAGGACATTTTTATAGAATATCTCAAAACGATAGAGAGCAGAAGAGAGCGAAAGAGAGTGTGAGAGAGAAAGAAAAATATGAAGAGAATGAGTCGAGAAGCTTAATGCATAAAATGATACTAACTTTCACAGTGTAAATAGCCTTGGCCTTGAAAACCGTTCGGACACAAGCAACGATATGAACCGGGAAAATTAATGCATTTAGCGTTAGTGCCACATTTGGCTGCGCCACTATCGGGATTACACTCATCCACATCTACGCAAGCTCGGCCGGCACCCTTTGGGCCCAAGGCAGATGTTTTGTTGTTATTATATTTGTCATTTGTATCATAGCCATAGTCCTCGAGTTGAAAACCCGCCGGACAACGACATGCAAAACTACCGCCCATATTCACGCATTCAGCACCCAAACCACATGGATTGTTAATGGAGCACTCGTCGACATCTGAGTTGTTGTTGTGGTAATGATAAGCGTTGTTTGTTGTAAATTGTGGTTGGTGTGTTGTGCAGGGATGGTATGGTATGGTTGAGGTGGTAGTGTTTTTTATTTTTTTTTTATTAAAATAAGTATTAAAGTTAAATAAATATGTGATTAGTAAATTATAATTAAGTAAAATATGTTATGAGAGTTGAATATAGGGCCAGTTCTAGATTCAATGAAACTGGCTTTGGATGAAGCCAAAATTTCCAAGATGCAAGCAAGTAGTTGACTTCAAAATTAAAGGAATTCAGAGGAATAATTGACAGGCTAGATGGGTGTTTATCCCTTGGTCAGGATAATATTATTTTGAGTGAACTTTTATTAGCTTCCATGGGATGTCACCTTAAATAGATGTTACAAACCAGGGGTTCCATTAATTTTTTTAGATATTTCCCTTAATTTTGAAACTTTTCCCATTGAATCTGAAACTGTCCCCTTTTTGGTGCAAATGTAATGTTTGCTTTATTGTTGTTGTTTGTGCTTGCAATTGTATTCGTTTTTTATTTTTTTTTTAATTTGTTGTAAATGAAAATGATTTGCATAGTAATAAATGGGTGCAATTTTCGCTTAAGAAAATCCTATATTTCTAAATATGGTCAGCTTTCTAAAAAACTTGTGCAAATACATTGAAGCTCTGTTTTTTTTTCATCTTCTTTCAGTAGCAGTTTTTTAACTCTCTAACAAATAACAAAAACATAAATTCGTTTCACTTCTGAACTATGGAGCAACGCAAAAGCAACAAGGGAGACATATACATATATAGATAAGCCATGATAATGATATGGCTCTGAAAGCACCTTTTCACAAAAGCTAGACAAAGGCAAAAAGTGTGCCACAAAACTTACCTTCACAACCGTGCATTGGATCGCCCGAATAACCATCGGGACACAAACACTTGAAACTACCCTCCGTATTTTGGCACTGAGCATTGCGGCCACATGGCGAGCGTGCACATTCATCATAATCCAAACAACCGGCCTCTGAGCGTCCATCGCCATCATAGCCTGTAGGACAGTCGCAGCGATAACTGCCCTCCAGGTTAGTGCATATGGCATTTGGACCACAGACATTCGGCTGAGCACACTCGTCGATATCCAGACAACCGTCATAGGGATTGCCATAGAAACCATCGGGGCAGGTACATGTATAATTGCCGGGCATGTTAATGCAGTGAGCATTATGACCGCAAGCATTTGGATTTTGGCACTCATCAATATCTGGAGGGAAAGGAAGAAATGACAATTTTTGTAGAAAATAGGAATTTTAATTCCTCCTCCTCCTCCATGGGGAAACTTACCTGTACACAAAACTTCACCATCGCCTTCATAGCCATCTTTACATTTACACAAAAAGTGTGCGGGTAGATTGCAACATTCGGCATTTTCAACGCAACGTGCAGCTATTTGTGGATCTTGACACTCATCGATGTCTGAAAAGATATGAAAAGTAATTTGAAATTAAAACAAATGTAAATATTGAAAATTTTGCAAAAAAAAAAAAAAAAAATGACAGTAAAGTAAAAGGAAATCACAATCAATTTATAAATTTCCTTCTCGAATTTAATATTTGTGGCTATCGCCTAAAAGTATGCTATGAATAATGCTAAGGATAAATGCCTGAAAAAGGGCACTTGACATATGACCATAACATGCGGTGTGAACTTATTTTTTGAGTCAAATATTGCGTAATTTTTCTACAATTTACATTAAGTATTTTTATAGCATATATTTAGACGCTCAACAGAATTTTTAAAAATTAGCAAAAATAATAACTGTACTCATAGTACAAATATTGCAATGGTATATTATGTGGTACTGTATGGTATATAATTTTTATAGAATAGATTTTCTTTTGAGTAAAAAACAAAAAAAAAATCAAGGGCGCCTAAAAGTATGCTATAATAAAAATGCCTAATATTAAAAATCGTAAAAGTCATTTATTTATAAGTGATGTGTAAACAGACCTCATATACTAAATCAGTGCATGTAAAATTGTAATGAAATAACTGACCGACTCAGAATCACTCCCAGACGAAACGGTTGAGCCCAGACCGTGATAAGGCTGGATCTTTGAGAATGTACCAATGTTTTTTATTGGACAAAGTGAATGAGCTAGAATTTGGAATGAGAGTTACTGATGGAGTGCAGGATAGATGTATCAAGGATGTTTTTTTAGGATTAAATAGGCCTTGAAAATTTGAAATTTGGTATTAGGTAGTTCGGGTAGGGTGTTCATATAGAAGTGGTTTCGGAAAAATACTTAATGGTATAATAATTGATATTGGGTAAAGGGATAGGGTTGGAACCCTCATATATGATATTGAGGTCTTTGTTGGTATCTGGAATTGAGATATGGAGGTGGTGTTTGAAATGTGTACTATAATTGTACGAAAGGTACTAAGTAGTACCAAATTCGCTGTTGGGTGAAGGAATAGAGCCGAAATTCGGAAATTTGATATGGATGTAACTGTTGGTGTCTGTGGTTAGGTATATGGAGGTGGTTTTGGAAATTTGTATATAATTGTACGTAATGTACTAAATAGTATCAACTTTGGTATTGGGTGAAGGGATAAAGATTAAAATCTGAAATTTAATATTTAAATTACTGATGGTATCTGAGGTGGAGATTTAGAAGTGGGTTTCGAAATGCGTGCTACATTTGTACGAAAAGTATTATAGTATTATGAGTGAAGAGATTGGGCTAAAGTCCTTCAATTTGATATTGAGGTCTCTGTTGGTGTCTGTAATTGAGATATGTAAATTGTTTTGGAAATGTGTACCTTAATTATACGAAAAGTACTAAATAGTACTAAATTTGATATTGGGTGAAGGAATAGAGCTGAAATTTTGAATTTAGATATAGATGTCGCTTTTGGTCTCTGTGGTTAAGATATTGAGGTGGTTATGGAAATGTGTATTATAATTGTACGAAAAGTACTAAGTGGTGCTAAATATGGTATGGGGTGAAAAGATAGAGCTGGAATCCTGAAATTTGATCTGGATGTCACTGTTGGCATTTGAGGTTGAGATTTGGAGGTGGTTTGCGAAGTGTTGGAAAAGTATTGAATGATACTAAATTTTTTTATTGTGTGAAGGGATCCTCCTTTAAATATCCCTTCTTTAGATCAATTTCCCAAATGAAACCGGAAATGCTAGATATTTCATATAACTTCATTTTGTTTTAGTTTTTTGTTTTTACTTCCAAATTCCCACCAGATTTTAATTAAATTTTTGAATAACTTCCAAGTTGTCTGACATCTTTGTCTAAAGCTCATCAACATTTATTTTGCTGACATCTTCATCTTGAGCTCATCAAAATCACTGGCTCTTATTTAACTCCAAAACCACATCTATCATTTACAGTGTCAAAAAAATTAAGCAAAGGAACTCTAGGAACTGATAGCTTATTTCCGAATGGAACAATTGATGAGAACATTTTAAATTGGGTTTTAGGTAGATATAAATTATTCATGCTTTTCATTTTAAATGCTAGAACGAATCTATATTAGAATACAAGAAAGAAACGAAAATGATTTCTCAGCTAGAATTAAGAAAAAGAAAAATAAAACAAAAGACTTAAGACACAAACTTGTCTTGAATGAAGAACGTTCAAAGAACTTTGAACGTGAGAATAATTAAGGTCCATCAAAACACATCAAAGAAGAAGAAGTTTATAAAAATAGAAACAACAACAACAATTCTTGTTACCAATTCTCACCTCTAGAAGTCTAGCCTTTAATGTGCCCAGCTTCTTTGGTAGTCTTCATCATAATCATATGCCTAATCAATTTTTAAGAAAAAATCGTTTATCGGCAATTTTAATTTGCCCACGAATGAATTGATTAATGAATTAAGCTTAGGGGGAAGTGAGAACAAAAAATACTCCAAAAGAAATTAAATTATTCACAGCTTGAAATGGACTTCTTAAGACATTTGCCATTAATTTTTCTAAAAACTTCCCGCAATTTCAAGATTTACGCATCACAGACTCTTGACTAGTAATTGTTATTGAAAATACATAACAACAGCAGCAACAACAATGAGTGATTAATTGTTACGCATCTAAGCTTCATTTAAATATACAATTTTAGAAAAGCAAAAAAAAACATCAACATCATTGTTAAGACAATATCAAGGTTAGCCGCTGTCGTTGCTGTTTTGTTTTTTTGGTTTCTAAACAATAACATGAAATATGATTATTAACAAAAATAGTAGTGAAAACAACCAACTAAACTACCAACTATCTTTGTTTTTTTTTGTTGTATCTTAGAAGTACTACCTTTGTTATTGTTATAGCGTTCATGAATGACAACATGATGTCACCATTGTAGATAGTGCGTGAAATGCAAAACGTTTTGCGCCTAGACAAAATGCAAAGCCAACTGACAGGGAATACGTCATGCCTATGATTTTATTACCTTGAGTGCAGTTGTTGTTGTTGCTATTGAATGGCCCTTGTTCAGGGTTTTATGTGCATATTTAAAAAAATATTATTATTCGAAATCATATCTACGATCGATATACCAAAATTGATATAATTTTTTTTAAATTAATTTTTGTCAATAAAAATAAATTTCGCAAAAAATATACGAGGGCAGATCAAAAAGTGAGCCACTTTTCCAGCGTGCCTCGTAGAGAAAAAAAAAAAAAAAATAAATTTGTTGAACTTCCTTTGTGTTTATTTAAAATAAACTAAAATGGGAAGGACAAAAAAAGTCTAAGTCGACTATATGATACTACTTTGCAGAGATACTATTATTAAATATACCTTTAATTTGGGAATTTGTGTAAATAAAATCATCCTGGGGAGTTTTCCTACGAGGCGCGTCCCCACCGGCGGATAGGGGTAGATGGATGATCACACTATTTTGCCCGAATTAGGGTGTCATAGTTACGAACTGATCGGAGCGGAATAGTGTTATCATCCGTCTCTGGGGATTTTCGGATTACACGCTGACAAAAAACTGACTATGGGGGATATTCCCCTAAAACAGACAATAAAAATGGAAGAAGAAGAAAAAGAGAATAAAGTTACGGTGCAGGACCTTAAATAACCCAGTACCGACGGGTGCTTGTGATCCAGCCACGTGTCACACCTCGCCGTTATCCAACGATCGTGAGCAAATTTCTCCCGTTTTGAAAATTGCATTGCAAAGTAACCTTAATAGAGGGACAGGATCCCCCATCTTCCAAATTTTTGATATTTTCGGACAAAGACTCCATGGAATCCGATTATTTTAATATACTTTGTCTTGGGGATTATAGAAGGTAAATATTGTTTACAAGCGTACAAAAGCATTTTGGTGAGAATTTTCCAGAAAAACAGTTATGATAGTGTTATTTCTTTATATTTGGCTGGAAAACCACAAGTGGCTATCGTTAGAGCACTCCAGCATTTAAATGTTAATAAATCTTTTGTCTCGTCCCTTTGCTCATTACCGTGATACTGGTAGTGTAGCCCGACGTCAAGGAAGTAGACAGAAGAAAACAGCAACATCAGAAGAAATGGTTCGAAAAGCGACTTGATTGAAACCCGCGCCGCAGTGGCTGAAAAATGGCTGGTGAGCTGAACATATCGCAATATTCCATTCGGAAAATATTGAAAAATGAGCTCGGGGTAAAGCCATTGAAATTCCAAAAAGTGCAGCTGAAAATATGCAGATTCGGTTGGCAACCAGAACTCAAGCACCGGCCATGGTGATGGTGTTGGCCGCCAAAACAGCCGACGGTCGCTCTCCGCTCGTATTAATCGACCGTGGCATCAGAATAAATGCCGAATATTATCGCGAAAATATTCTGGAGGGTGTATTAAAGCCTTGGGTACGCAAATATTTTGGCCGCAGACCTTGGACATTCCAACAGGACTCAGCACCATCGCACTCAGCACGCGCCACCCAAGAATGGTTACAAAGTGAGGCTCCTCGCTTCATTTCCAGCGCAACAAAATCACCGGATATCAATCCGTTGGACTATTGTGTCTGGAGTATTTTAGAAAGCAAGGTTGGCACTAAAAAATACCAAAGTGTCGATCACCTCAAGCGAGCGCTTCCCGGGAATGGGCCAAAATACTGCAGAGCAACATTCGGGCAGCGTGTCATGGTTTCATTGGCCTTCGAAGGCCATGATTCGTGGCAAAGGTGATCAATTCGAACAAATCTAAACTTATTCTAACATTTGATGCTATTTCCGACATTTTTTCTTTCATTCAATAAAATTAAAAAAAAAAATTACAAATTATGGCCTTTGACTTTGTTGCAGTTTTTTATCTCACCCTGTATACCTTAAATCGACGGATTCCCAGGAATCTTAATCTGGAAATCCCCAAAACATACGAAGAAGAAGCCTTAAAAACACCAATACAAGTGTTTTCTACTCTACTTTCATAATCCGCTGTAGTTTCCCTGTACTTATGAGAAAAAGGTGAGTTTTG